GCGGCGGCGGCGGCGGCGGCGGTGCTACTCTGTCGCGGGAGTCACGTCGCAAAGATTGCCGATGCCTCGCTTGCTTTCCGCACACCACCTTTCTGATCGGTACAAAGATGTCGGGAACAACTCAGCCCAAGCCGCTGCCGTTCTATGCGCAGTTCACCGCCGGCGCCATCGCTGGTGTCACCGAGCTGCTGTGCTTGTATCCGCTCGATGTGGTCAAGACGCGCATGCAGCTCCAGGGCAAAGCAGACCTGCCCGGTCAGGAGCGATACAACGGAATGGTCGACGCCTTTCGCAAGATCATCAAGTCCGAAGGGTAAGTTCCCGTCCCCCGCCCCATATTTTTCAAACACCTTGTGCTGATAGTGGCTTGGGGGATGTTAGTGCTGGACGATTGTACCGTGGCTTGGTGCCACCTCTGATGCTCGAGGCACCTAAGCGTGCGGTCAAGTTTGCAGCCAACGACTTTTGGGGCAAGACATACAAGTCGCTCACGGGCCAGGAGAAGATGACGCAGTCGCTTTCGGTGCTGACGGGATGCTCGGCGGGTGCTACCGAGTCGATTGTCGTCGTTCCCTTCGAGCTGGTCAAGATCAGGCTGCAGGACAAGGCGCAAGCGCACCTCTACACCGGACCCATGGATGTGGTTCGCAAGATCATCCAAGCCGATGGCCTGCTCGGACTGTACGCTGGTCTGGAATCGACGTTCTGGAGACACGTTCTGTGGAACGGCGGATACTTTAGCGTGATCCACGCGCTGCGCGCCCAGATGCCAAAGCCCCAGAGCAAGGCCGAGCAGCTGAGGAACGATTTCTTCTGCGGCGCTATCGGCGGCACCGTCGGCACCGTACTCAACACCCCAGCCGACGTGGTCAAGAGCAGGATCCAGAACACTCCGAACGTCAAGGGTGTGCCGAGAAAGTACAACTGGACCTTCCCCAGCATGGCTATGATCGCCAAGGAGGAGGGTTTCGGTGCGCTTTACAAGGGTTTTACCCCCAAGGTGCTCAGACTGGCGCCCGGTGGTGGTGTCCTGCTGCTCGTGGTAGAGGTGGTGCTGCAGCAGTTCCGAACCGCTCTTGGCCCACCGTACATCTAAAACCACCTCATCGACCAAATGATCACCATGACATACACGAAAGCAGTCACACTTGCAACACAAGAAGAACAACAGGCATTGCATTGGAGGCAGATTTTGCGCATATGAGACAGGGCCAGATTTGAACAGCTTTGTTTGCTTTGGAGAGAGACCGAGATTGCAGTTGGGAGACCAGGAGCACAGGGAAAAGGGATTTCGATTGATTGGCGTTGATGGGGAGATTACAGTTCGAGTTGGAAGTCGAGCTCTTCTGTGGTGTTGGATTCGAGCGAGGAATCGGGATCTTGTTCCTTGAGCGATGGGTGTGGGTGTGGTTGGACGGGTGTGTGTCGTTGGATGGCCGCAGGAAGTTGCACCGCGGGCGGGAAGCGCGAGAGCGGGCTAGCGGCGAGACTGAGCAGCTCTTCGCGCGAGTACGAGATCCTCGGCGTGCCTCCTGGCGTGGTCCCATACACCGACGCCACCGTGTTAGGCGCGGGTTGAGAACGAATGGCGATACTAGAAGACATTGCAATAACGCTTACAAGACCAGAACGGGGATGGAGCGAGGGTTTGGATGGTGGGAGGAGACAAGGTGGGTGGGGATGGCGATTCTTATATCTCCACCGAGAGGGTGTTTGGGGCGGGGTTCAGGGTCTACGATAGGCAAGTCGCCGAAATCCCACTGGACAGACAGGTGCGGCAACAGCGCTGTGGAGGCCCAAAGGGGCAATCACGCCAAAACACTCGGAGTTTTTCGTGACGTGGCTGCTGGCTGCAGCTGCCCCCGCACTCTCTCGCCTTATCGGGCACGAGCCATGCGCCCCACTCTGGCGCCATCCGAATCCAACCGACCAAGTTAGCGCTCACGCTATCTTATCTCGCCACCACGCAATGCCCGCTTCCCTTGTCCGCACGGGGCAACCCCCTCCCCCTTGACACAATGCCCAAATGTCGCACACCACTCGCCGGGAATGGGAACAAGATAGCGCTGAAATTGTGTGGAGGGGCGCCAATGTCTAAGTCTGCACGTCATTCTCCTTGTACACCTCGCTACGAGGCAGAGGCAGCTCGTCATACGCACTGCCAAACGGTTGCGCCCACTTGGGATACACGCGCTTGTACAGATTCATGAGCACCGTGTCCATCTGGCTGATGGGACCGTCAAAGTGCGCCTTGAAGTAGCCGTGCGTGCCGAGCGACTCGGTGATGTGCCCCGTGCGGCCGAGCTTGGTGTGCAGCGTGATGGGCTTGAACCAGTACACGTCCTCGGGGTTGAAGAACATGAAGCGGATCGTAGCCGTCTTCTTGTGCACCTTGTACGGGTGGCCCGACAGCAGGATGCGCTTGGCATTGATGCGCGTGGGTCCGGCATCGATGAGGTTGCCAAATCCGACCAGATGCGGCATCTGTGCAGCAGACACGCCGCGCTGATCGTAGCCCGACTCGCCGTCCAGGGAGCGTTCCCGGAGAAGGACGGCGGGAGCTGTACTGCCGCCGAATGTGATGGGTGCGTAGACGGTGGCGACAGAGGCCGAGACGCCGGGGCGAAGGAAGCGCTCGAACTTGTGCACGTTGTTGACGCCCTTGCCACCGCCGCGACTGTGCTGGCTGAAGATCGGATTGACGCGGAAGCGGCGTGGACCCAGACACAGCACGAGCGGGTCCTTGGAGCGCACGGGCGCGTCGTACTCGGTGTTGCGCGTGACGGTAAAGTTGATGACGCTCTTCTTGTGCTCGTGCCTCAGCAGGCCGAACAGCACAAACGGCACCGCCACATCCGCCTTGGGCAGCTCGAGGTTGGTGGCGCGCGCACGCACCGCCGCGGCGCGCGGCACGTCTTTGACCCACACCGTCACGCGGAATCCAGGCTGCACGCCGTCCAGCAGCGCAGCACCCTCGACGCGGCGGCGCGTCTTGTGGAAGTCCTCAAACTGGAAGATGCGCGCATAGTCGCGCGGCAGATCCTCGTACGGATCCCAGGGCGAGGTGCGGAACGACTTGAGCCCGCGGTAGCGCGCAAAGCGCTGGCGCGCCGAAATCTCGAGCGGCGTATCCACCTCGTCGGGGAACTCGGCATCGTCGCGCTCCTCGCGCTCGCGCTTGCGCTGCTCCTGATACGCGCGGTATTCGGCCTCGGCCTGCGCATCGTCCACGTCCTCGAACGCCATCTCGGACATGCTCTCGCTCGGCTGGGCGTGCTGCTGCGCAATCGCGGCCGCCTTCATGCGCTCGTAGTCGTCAACCGCCTCGTTCACCTCGACATCCCCGGTGTCCATGTCCTCGTCGGCCTCTTCCGCCATCATCGAGTCGGCATCGTCGTCGTCGTCATCGTCATCTTCTTCGTCGGACTCGATGATCCAGGCGGCACGGTACTTGGCGTTGTCCTTGGCATTTCCGCTGCCCTTGACGATCGTCTTGGGCGTCGTTCCGGGCAGCGCGGGCGGGGGCGGCATCTCGCCATCGGCACGCTGCTTGGCGAACTGCTCGGCCGCCTGCATCTCCTCCTCGGTCGGCCACGTCTGCTCGTTGCCCATGTCGTCCGGCTCGTTTTCCGAGACCAAGTCGTCGGCGAACTCGTCGTCGCGCGTCTGCAGCACATCGCCCGCCGCCAGCGGTGCATCGGCGACAGTAGCGGCGGTATCGGCATCCGTCATGGCAGCGTCGTCAGCGTCGGTGCTCGCGGCCGTGGTGGCGCTCGCCTTGGTGTGCTTGGTGCGTGCGTTGGGCGGCGGTGCGTACGCGATGCGGTCCACCTCAAAGTCGCCAAAGTCCGGCAGGTGGATCAGGCGGTCCGCCGACATGGGTGCGCCGCGGATCCAGCCGGTCACCTTGAGGCTGCCTCGTTCTTGGTCCTGGCCGTTGAGACTCGCGATGCCGTCCGCACCGTCGTTGCCGTTGCTAGCGTCCGGGTTGGGAGCGGCTTCCCACTCTGCGTCTTCGCTCACCATCCACGCGCGGAAGTCGCGCCAGGCGACGCGCTTGGGTGTGGCGGTGGCAAGCGTGCGCAGCAGCGCGCCGCGCTCGGCGCGGTCGTCGAGCGCATGCACCTTGTCGACGTCGGGCGAAAAGTACTGTGCGAAGCTGAGCAGCGACTTGCGCACCTCGTTGGCCGCCTTGAGTGCGGCGCCGGCCTTCTTGCTGCCTCCGACGCCCGTGGCGCCGTCCGGATGGAGGGTGGGCACGGCGACGACGACGGTGGGCAGGCCCTGCGCCTGGAGCGTGCGCAGGCAGAGCTCGCCCCAGGATCCCGGGTCGATGGCGGTGGAGGCGGACAGGACGAGCAAGACAAAGTCGGCGCACTTGCATGCGTCGAGGATGGGGTAGAGCGCGCCGTAGGGAAGCGGAAGGAACTGGATGGTCTGACGGAAGCGCGTCGCCTCGAGCTCGCAGTAGGGCAGGCCGGTGCGCAGCGCATCGTCGACGCTTCGGCCAGGCACAGGCTGGACGCCGCCGTCGGGACCTTCTTCCTGGATCCTCCTCACGGCCTCCCACGAGTCGCCGTCCTCGGCGAGGTCGACGACGGCGCAGATGCGCGGGGCGCCTGCACCGGCACCGGCGAAACCCTTGGAGAGACCGTCCTTGCCCTCCCTGGATGCGGCGGAGGAGAAGATGCGGTTGTACTGGACGAGAGCATTGCGCTTGGAACGCTGTGCCTGCTTGGCGTGGTTGCGGCGGTGCTGGCGCGAGCCCACCTCGTTTCCGGCGGCCGAGAGCGGCGAAGCCTTGTGGGAGGAGAGGCGCGAGGTGCTGGAGACGTCGCTGGCAGAGCGACCTTTGGAGGCCTCACGCAGCGAGGTCTTTGTGGCGTGCTTCGACTTGAAGGCCTTGTTGGACTGCCTCAGCGACGAGGCACGGTGGTGGTGGGGCATGTTGGAGGTAGGCCCTGTGGCGCCCAGAGCTGGACGAGCAAGACTCTATGTGGCCCTGCGTTTGGTGAAGGTTGTGCTGGTCGCTGTTTCTCTGTTGCCTGTCTTGCTCGAGCGAGGATGGTGGGCTGCAGCGATGGTCGGTGGCAATGATGTTGCGAGTCGGAGGCAAGGAGTGGTGGTGAGGACGGCGGGCCAGTCAGGGTCTTTTGTTTTTGGCTCAACTTTTTTCTTTCTTCCTTGCTGCTGCTGCCTCGAACTGGAAGAAAAGGTGCTTTTTCTTTTCTTTGCTTTTTTCGCTCACTTTTTTGACGCCGAGAAAATTTTGAATTGATGAGCTCGACGGCGCTCCACTTTGGCACCTCTCCGGGTCCCGATTTCGGACATCCAACGATCCGCGCGTGCTCACGAGATTTAGGCGCAGTGCAGACACGTCGGTACGAGCTCAGGCGGCATTACTATACTGTGGTCCCATTTCGATTGCGATTGCATTCGTTTTGCTATAGGGGGTGATAAGGACGCGCGTTTGTCACACTGCTTGGAGACACGGTGATGACAACGACGACGACGGAACACGCCATTGTGGCTGAGTTGTCCCCTCAATAAGGCTGGCTGGGCGCACGCGTGCCGGTGGGTGTTGGCGGCTGGCTCGGATACGGGCTGGGGGTGGGCGGTGGAGCAAAGAAGCGGAATCGGAGGCGGTGGAGGATGGGGAGCTTGGGGAAGAGCACAAAGAGGAGTGCGCAAAAGTTGAGCCCAAAGAGCAGCGGGTTGTAGCGCGTGTAGTGCGTCGAGATGAGGAAGAGGCCGATGGGCACCGAGGTGAGCCACTTTTTGGCGGGTGTGTATTGGGCTCCCTCGTCGATCTGCTCCCACAGCGTGAGCTGGTCGTATACGCCTGCGTTGGACTCGAAGGGGGTGCCGGTGACGTAGTGGAACATGATGTAGGAGAGCGCCATGTATCCGAGGTTGACGAGCGTCCAGGAGGTGTCCTGCTGCATGGCGGGGATGACGTCGAGCAGGATCTTGGCGAGCAGGATGAGCACCACGTGGATGACCCACGCGCCCTTGTAGTTGACCCAGTCGGCGTTGGCGTTGAAGCCGGTGGACTGGTCGATCATCTCCTCGTGCGTCTCCTCGACGCGCGTCACCGACACGAGCGACGACGAGCGTGCGCGTCCATGCGGCGGTCGCTTCACCGGTGGTGGTGCCGCAGACGTGGAGGACGCGCTGGCATATGCGGTGCCCGGCGGGCTGATGTGCAGTTGCGGCGGAGCACCACCATCTTGTCCGATGGACGACGAGGCCATGTCGAGTGTTGCCGAGACGATGGAACGCACGCAGAACCTGCTGCGCTCTGCTGTGATTTCCAAGGATGTGCCAGACGGCGTTGCCGAGAGGATGCAGAGTCGATGCCGAGTCCGCTGCTTGCTATGTGCGCTGGTCTGTAAAGTGAAACGGCGGGCGGACGTTAGAATGGAAGAAGTCAGGCAAGATGGGTGGATGTGCAGATGATGCGGCTTGCGACGGCCGATTGTCGGATGACCCTTCCGACCTGAGCCACGGCAACTCTCTCTCTCTCCCTCTCTCTGCAGCGGCCGTCGTCAGGGCGGCGTCAGCGCAGCATCGGATTTGCAACGCTTCACATCCACGATGACCGCCCTGTTGGCCCTGCTCGCAGCGCCTCTCTTTGGCCGGCCCGCACGTGTTGTGCGCAACACCTGACGATCTCACACCCATTTCCAAATTCGAGCATTTTCGTGCTCAGTTCTGTTAGAGCTAAAAGCACGCGCTGTTCGCCTCACCGCCTCATCGCCTCATGCCCGCCGCTGCACGTCCCCATCACCTCCACGCATCCGTGCGGCGGTTCGCGCGAAATTTCAATCCCAGGTGGGACCAGGCGAATGGGCAGAGGCGCCGACAAGTGTTGGTTGGAATTCTTCCAGAGCTGCTGGGTGCTGCTGCTGCTCAGTTGAGCCCCAGCACGTTCCACTCGCTTCTCACTTTTCCACCATCCCCCTTCCACCGCTCATCGCTTCTCGGACATCGCAGCAATGGCGCTACCCTCTACCATCTCGGCGGCTCAGGCCCACCTCGGAGACGGCCTCCCCACCGCGCTCATCACCACCGCATCCCAGGCGCACCCCAAGCCCGCCGACCAGACGTTCACCTACGGCACTGCTGGTCTGCGCACGCGCGCCGACATCCTCGACAGCACATGCTTCCGCGTCGGCCTCATCGGTGCACTCCGCAGCAAGAAGCTCAAGGGCAAGACCATCGGCCTCATGGTCACCGCAAGCCACAACCCGGAGCACGACAACGGCGTCAAGATGGTCGATCCGCGCGGAGAGATGCTCGAGTCCAGCTGGGAACCCTTCTGCACCCAGATCGCCAATGCGGCGGACGACGACGAGCTCATCGCCTCGCTCGACAAGCTCGTCGCGCACTTTAAGATCGACCTCGCCGCCCCGGCCTCGGTGGTGGTCGGCTACGACACACGTCCGTCGTGCAAGCAGCTCGTCCAGGCCATCGTAGACGGCCTCGCGGCGTTCGGCGCACAGACCATCGACGCCGGCCTCAAGACGACGCCCCAGCTCCACTACCTCGTCAAGTGCCTCAACACCCAGGGAACCCCGGACGCGTACGGCGAGCCCACCGAACAGGGCTACTACAAGAAGCTCGCCGCCGCCTTCCTCCGCCTCGTGCCCAAGTCGTCCGACGTGCCCCCGCTTGTGGTCGACTGCGCCAACGGCGTGGGTGCCTATGCGCTCACCAATTTCATCAAGTATCTCCCAGAGGACCGCATCGCCTTCCGTCCGCTCCGCACCAGCACCACCACCGCTGGCGCGCTCAACAACGGCTGCGGCGCCGACTATGTCAAGACCAACCAGTGCCTGCCCCTGGGCTTTGAAAAGGAGGGCCTGCAGCCGGGAGAGCGCATGTGTTCGTTCGACGGCGACGCCGACCGCATCGTCTACTACTACCTCACGGGCCCGCCCACCTCGAAAGACTCGTTCCGGCTGCTCGACGGCGACAAGATCGCGTCGCTGGCAGCAGGCTACCTCTCGGAGCTGGTGCAGCAGGCTGGCATCAAGCTCGAGCTCGGGTGTGTGCAGACCGCCTACGCCAACGGCAGCTCCACCAAGTACCTCAAGCAGCGCGTCCCCGTCACATGCACGCCGACGGGAGTCAAGCATCTTCACCACGCCGCCGAGTCGTACGACATTGGCGTCTACTTTGAGGCCAACGGGCACGGCACGGTGCTCTTCTCGCCCTCGGCGCAGCGCAAGATCAAGGAGGCCTCGCCGTCGTCACCCGCGGCGCAGACGGCGCTCGAGCAGCTCGGAGCGCTCGTCGACCTCATCAACCAGACGGTGGGCGATGCCATCTCGGACATGCTGCTGGTCGAGGTGATCCTGCGTGCGCGCCAGTGGGGACCCGTCGAGTGGGACGGCGCCTACGAGGACCTGCCCAACAAGATCCTCAAGGTCAACGTCAGGGACCGCTTCGTGTTTAAGACCGAGGATGCCGAGCGCAGGCTCACCAGCCCGCCTGGGCTTCAGGAGCGCATCGACGAGCTCGTGGGCAAGTACAAGGACGCGCGCAGCTTTGTGCGTCCCAGCGGCACCGAAGACTGCGTGCGCGTCTATGCAGAGTGCGCCATCGCCTCGGAACTCGCACCGCTCGCCAACGGCGTCGCCAAGCTCGTCTCGGACTACGCCTCGCTCTCGTGATGTGTTGCTACTTGTCGTTCTCTACCTGAATGCCACCATGTCGCCGTGCCCCCGTCGTGCGTGTGAGTATTTGTGACCTGAGAGAGGCCAGTCATAGCGCATCTCCCCTACCTGAATTCTGGGAACCTGGTTGGGGGTCTATAAATGCAACAGCAGCCACGCTGCACAACATCCGCTTTCGTGGCCTAGTTGGTTAGGGCGTAGGTC